TGGGAAGTATTCGAGTACTCTAACTCGAGCAACACTATATTCTTGCACTAGTAGACGGGAGAAAATTAAGAAATGATTAACCATACAAAAATATCAGTTTCTTTCATTAGAACTTCAAAAGGTAGAAAATGACGGACTTTTAGATTACTTTTACAAAATCTTGTTCGCAAACTTTTCGAAATAAATAATCTAGGGCTTGATTGACTTTTAGGATTCTATGAAACTCGAATCTTGCAAAGTTTTAAGATTTTCAAATTTCGTTTTCTTCTCGTATCTATTTTACTCGTCTGTTGAAATAGAGTAGAGAAATTTTGATTTCTTTAGCCAAAAATCAAATTATTTTTTTTTATGTTGATGATTGATAGCGAAGTGATTGTTATGAACTGGCGAAAATTGTACCAATAAAAATAAAAAAAAAATTTTGAACACGAATTTGATTGAATTACTACTAGTTAAATTCTAAATTCTTTCAAAGCTATTTTTGCGAAACATTTGTATAAATATGAAATATCATGATTTACCCGGATTTCGAGAGATTCGACAATTCACAAAAATTCGGCACGAAAACGTCATAAAAGTGGCACGAGTTTCGAGTTTCGAGTTTCGCAGGATTTCGAAGGAGAGAAACTTCGAGGAACTTCAAACCTTCGTGCTTCTCATTTTCACAAGAAAATCATCTTTTTGCTCTAACGCACTGTACAAAATCGCCTGTCTAGCACATTTCGCAGTGTACACATAAAATCATACAGTATATCATACGTAGAACTAAGAAACTTTGATAATTGACGATAATGAACACGTTGAAAAAGCAGAACAAAGAAATCAGAGATTCATTTCTAATATAATTCCTTTATAATATATAATTTGTATAATAAACGGAGGTTTTATTTGTCTCATTTGTCTCAAAAATTAATAAAATTAATGAAATTAGTATGAAATTAAATTTACCAAAACGGACAAAATTAAAGTTACCATAATGAGCGTATTAATATATTTTCGAAGTATCTACTATAAATAGTGAAAATAGTGATCCATTTGTAAACATTTATACAGCAAAATCAAGAAAATTGTAGCTTTCCTAAAATTCAACGAACCTAAATCATTAACAGATTAAATATACGTACTGCGTACTTGACAATTGTAATAGACATTCTCTAACACAGTTAAAGTTGAACGAAGAATTCGTCGTTCGTTAATTTCACGATTGACATTCCCAGCGAATGAGCACGTATATCAATTGCCAAGGATTTCTTCGTCGATCGATGATGAATTGCAGTCACGTGCCAAGGATGTAGCAATAAAAAAAAAAAAAAAAAAAAAGAAAAAAAAGAGAGAAGAAGGAACGAAGATCCAACGTTTCATTTCGTCGTGACTTTTGCTTTTATTCGAAACCTGTCTCACGACTGGCCGGTGCAACTCCCTTCGTCTGCCGAACGAATTTTCACACTCGTACAGACTGTGGCCAATTATCGTTACGTAATGCCGATCGTTCCCGAAGAAACGGTCCATTCATTCCTTTTCACTAGTCTTCGCTCGTCGTCGTGTCGTTACACGCTCGATTAATGAAAATTCTAGCCCTCTCATCCCATTCCACCGTGTCAATGTAATCAACGACATTACACGTGATTATCTGTCGATCGCGATCGAGAAAGATGCATAATGACACGATTAGTTCACATTCACGATTGAGTTGTGCGTGTTTCGTGCAACTTTAGGTTTCATTTTCTTCCTTTTAAATTACATTCCGTGCAAATTTAGTTTGCTTATTGACAACATTCTAAATGCAGGATGTTCCAATTTTTACGGTAATTGTAATTCGAAATGAAATTTTTTACGAAGCTTCTCTCGTTTTCGAGAGCATCGAGTTTGAAAATTTGGACATTCGTATCGTTTGAATTTTCGATCGACCGGCAATGTTGGAGAGACGAAGTTGAATTGATAAATTTAATGAAGTTTCTTTAACATACGAATCCCCACACGAAGAACTTGCATTGAAATTCGTAATATTATCAAGTATAAATAAAATTTACGTTCTTAGTATTCACAATATAATACAAATACGAATAAACTAATAATAGTATGATATGTTTGAAATAGATGTTTGAATATCCATAAAAATCACTGTATATAATATATTTTATAAACATTCAAGTATAGTGAGACATCTTACAGAAAACAAATGCTGTAACGTTGAAGTTTTCATCATTACATTACAACGAACGTGAAGAAATATAATTTATATTGTACATTTAATTTATCACATTTAAAATTCATACGTATGCATAAATTTATAAATTACTCTTATTACGAAAAATTGTAATTGCAAATGCGGGAAAATACAATTCATAAATTTATAATTAAACGTACAAATTTACAATTTTATGCTATTATAAATTCAAATATTCTCGGAGCAATAATTAAAAACATAATAATAACAGTCATCGAGCAATATTCAAGGATACAAGAAACCTAATTGAGTATTTAAAGTATATCCCACTGTATATTTTTCTATATTACATCCTCTAGCAATGATAATTAAAAATATCAAAATAACGGTACGAGCGAGAATAATTGGAGCCAGGAATTTAAAAAAGAATTTTTAATTCAGTTTAAAACTGCTTATATCGCATACGTGTAAATTACATTACACACCGCGTGGAATTGCCTCGGAGAAGATTTGATCGAACCGCGTGGAGTTTTCCTCCGCGATTTCACTTTCGCTAGCGCGATATAATCGCGCGTGTTACGAATCGTAATGCGAACTCTCTTGGCAAAGCTGTCCATAAACGATGCCACTGCAACTCGACGCAGATACAGAAAGAATCGAAACAGGCTAAACTATTATATATTGTCATTCTACGAGTGCGCTGGAATCACTCTCGACTGCTTGTCCGAGAGATACGATTGGTTATCCAGTACTTTTGTTTCTACGTTGTGATGAACCGATGACACCTTTACGATCGGTATTCGATGTCGTAATTGGATTCTTACTTTATGCGTTGCCATTTTCTTCGCGCATGCTTCAATTTACGATGAACCATCATTTCATCGGACTTTTGAAGTACGTCGCGTGTAATATAAATGGCGTTTAATCGGAATTTTTGTTGCTTCTTTTGGCGATGTTACGTGTATCCTTCTACTTTCTAAATATGTATCTGCTTGCTGTTACTTACCTTTCATTCGCTGCTGGCTAGTTGTAAATTGTGAAAATCGAACCTCGTGCCGTTTGGAGTGTTTTCTTCTCTTTTTTTCCATTTTACAGTACAGTATTTAATTTGATGTTTAGCAATGTTCAATATCCTTTATTTAATACTCAGCGTTTTATAGTGTCAATACTTGACCAATTTGTCTTTGGAAATAAATATTTTTCTAATCTCTGTTTAATATTTGGCACTTGGGGACATTAGGCCATTATTTGGCAATAATGAGTGGGAAGTCGATGTTGATTAATATTCTGTATTTATTATTTAATATTTGAGGTACTACGTGAAAGTTTGTTTCTTTGGATCAAATGTTTGTACATTACTTACCAAATATTTAATATATTTGGTATTCAATATCGAGTTTAGTATTTAGCATTTTAGAAGAATGGTACCAAAAGTTTATTGTATGTTCTCTTCAAGCATTCCTTGATAATTTCGCATCATTTTTTAAAAATAAATTAATATATACAAACTATTGCAGTTACACATTAATTAGGAAAATTAAAACTAAAAACATCAACATTAGACAAATTTCTTTGTTCTTCCTTGTTTTAACGTGTAAAATAAAAGTTATGCCCTCACAGAGCAACTTCATCGAGCTGTCAATTTGTATAATAATTTATTACGTTGTTAATAATGATATCAAACAATTTGTTTTCAAATGTAAATTAGTTAAAACTCAAATCCAGAGAATTACGAAACAAATCATTTTCAATTCAATTCAACTAACTCCATCTTATTCTTCGCTGTTTTTTAAAACTTGACTAATTCTTTTTGTGACAAATGTCTTTCAAATCTTCGCTGTCCTCTATTTTATTAATTTACTTTCGCGCCAATAAATTTAAACCGTCTACAAAAATCTCGTTTGGCGAAAAGCCAACATGAAGTTTGAAATTTTATTTCAATTACACTAGTTATTGAACATTGAGGTAAATTGAAAATTTTGTTTCCCCGTCGCGCGAAGAGCCTTCAAGAAATAAATATATAATACATGCCAATGTATTCATGACTCCAACCCAGTGGCTGAAAACAGTCTCCAATTTAATTAACATACGCATAAGAAGCGAGCAAAACCACAGGGAAGCAAAAGAAAAGAAAGAACCGCTTTGCTTTTCACCGCGATCCTCGAAACTTCCTCCAAGTGTTAAGATCTTCCCACCGAAACAAGAGAACGTTCAACTTCAGCATTCTGCTCAAAATTCCGCTGTTCCTTTCTAATTTCGCCGCGGAAACAAAAAAGTTCCGCTTTATAATCAGACGAGCAAGTGCGCATTAAAGAACAAAATTGAAAGCAAACAATCGGGAAGGGAGGAAGGTTGTTCGGACAACCTTGTCCGGATATCTCGAATGTTTCTTTCCTTCGAATTTCATTGCCTTTTTTCCCTTTATTTACCATTTCTTTTCTTCTCCTTGAATATTCTTATTGCAATCTGCAGAATTTAGAAGATCTGACGATCCTGTTCTTTTTTGTTCTTTGCTTCATTTATTCTCCTCTTTATTTGCATTTGTTTCTTCGAGTAATATTTATTGGCAAAGAACCTCTTCTTTGAACCTTGATACTTGCCTTCGAATTCTATTTCCTTCCAACTGTTTCTACTTTGAATTATTTATCACGGTTCGGAAGCAAAGTGCCAGGGAGTAGAAAGAAAGAGGCAAATTATTCAAACGATTCTGTTCAGATACATTCATCATCGGGTAATATCTCTCTTTGAGTTTCATTCCTTCGGACATTCTTTGAATAACATCCCTCGTCGTTTTGCGATTCGTCGAACGTCGACGCGGCTGCGGATATATACGACGACCGTTGTCCCAATAGATCCTCAATTTCTCTGCTCTTGCCTGTTCATCATCGTGAGTGCGGTGTTTTGACTGTCCGGTGCTGTGCTCCTCGTTGTCCGTATGTCGAAGATCTTCTTCAACGATCGAGGAAACTGACTGTTCAAACCTGCGTAGATTATAGGATTGTAACAAATGGAGGATTTGGCCAATAACGCCGGAAGTACAGCTACCGACGCTGATGGTTTCACCTAGAAGATTAATCGATGATTTCGGTGAATTAATGACCTGAACAAATTATCTATTGGGCAGAGTGTCGTTGTTAAGTGTTTGTCGATTCCTTTATCGTGCCTGTGTAGTAGAGTTTACTTTCGAATTCTTTCGTAGAGCGTCGAAGAATACAATCAAATCAAGTGATTTTTTTATGCAATAAAATGTATGTTGACAAATTGATAATTGTGACAGTAATAAGTAATGAACGTATAAAATATACGTTAACGAAGTAATAATTATGGCAATAAAGAATAATGACAAGCAGGTGTGAATACAATTGAATACAATTCTATTACCTGCGATAAGTTTTAATGAATACATTAAAAAAGTTTATATTAATATGTATTAATACATTAAAATAAATTAGTATATATTAACATATTAAAATAAATAAACAACAGTAATAAATGTATATGTATGTACAATTGTATTATAGAAGTAATGCTTTTATATTTTTGAAGAGGAGAGGGGGAGCAAATGCATAGATATGAATTTAATGTCAGCAACGCGCTGAAATTAACTATAAACTCCGGGGTAAACAGGTGACATACTCTTGTACTGTGTATCGTAAAACAATGCATAGATTATTACAACAATATTATATTCTCTAGTGTGTTGAATGTTATTACCGAGAAATCCCCAAAGAGACATAAAAACGAAAATGTAAATATTGCCAGGAGTCACAAGACGAACAAGTCGAACATTTGGCCTCTCAGTCGTACGGAAGCGTAACATTTGTTCGTGAAATACAATCAGTTAAGTACCGATTAAAAGAGGTTCAATTTGGGCGGACCTGACGGCCTCCATTACTGTTATCGCGATTTACAAAAAGAGCAACAACTTCAGAGTCCTCAGTCTATGAGAAGTGGCGGTATAATGATTTAGGGAGGCGTTACTGATGGAAGTAAAATGGGAATAAAATTTATTACAAGAAAATTAAGTAGTAAAAAGTATATTGAAATGATCAATAAAAATTAACACGTGTGCGACACGAAAATAATTGCCGAAAATAACTACATTTTTTAATTAACATATAGAAAAATTCGTGTTTCAGAATGGTCAGCCAAGTCTCCGGACTTGAATATTATAGAAAATTGTTCGGGGAAATTTGGCGAGGATCGTATACCAGAATAAAAGACAATTCGTAAATATTAATGAATTTAAATCTGTATTATAGAATAGTGAGATGAACTAAGCTAAAATATCATTAAAAGACTATATAAATTTTTGCCTCAAAAAATGGCCGCCGTTATTAAATGCAAAAGAGGTCATATCCAGTATTAAATAATTATCAAACTCGTTCCTTTTATTTGTCACGAAATATGCTATCATTTTAACCCGCTAAATATTACCATACTTCTATTTTTCCTTTTAATAATACAAGTGTATTGCAAAAAGTTTAATTTTTTTATCTATACGTGTTGATGAAAGCACTATGGAAGAACGTATGTAAGAAAGATTTTGTTTCATCATTTGTTTGATAAAAAGAAATTTAATAATTTTTAGAGTGCGCTATCTTTCTTTCTCGGGGTGTACGTTAAATGAAGAAGAATATAAACGTTTTCATTAATTGTACTTTTAAATATTAATGTCAGATGCGTGACGATGTTTAATGAGTATGGCGTTGTGCTTGTTAATAAGAAATTAAAGAGAATACTTTCACTCTGAACATGTAAATCGTTCACGATGTCGGAACGAAAGAAGATGCATTTCCTATTGCGTGCAACAATATGGCTTTCTCAATTTTAATTGACCTTACGTTTAATACAAAGTTACTTTTATTGGTCAACAAACTCGTGATTATAATATCCTTGTTCTATTAATAGCAACCAATGAATAACAAACTTTTCTACCGTACAATGACTAAATTGACTCTGATAAAGAAATTAATTTTCCGATGAACAAAATGTTCGAAAAATAAAATAACGAAATAAACTTGTAATAAGTAAGAACTTGTAATAAATAAGTAATAAGAACTCAAGCTTTTCCATTTTTCAAAATGGAAAATTCTTCTTTCGTTCTTGCAGTTGCAGTGAACAGACCTTTCTTTTTTCAATTCTTCGTCTAATAACACAATTTGTCTGAAATAATATAGAAAGCTATAAAACTCATTTTTCACGCGAAATCACGTCGAGTGTGGAGACTTTTGGCCATGACCATTCTTAAAAAAAAAAAAAAAAGAATACACAAAGTAAATATGAAACGTGAATATGATAAATAGAGTAATAAATATACTTACGTCGAAATACTGTGCGGCGATTGCAAGGGCAGCGTAAGGCGACCAGGCGAGTAAAAAGGCCGTGATCATTAGTGCGACCATTTTCGTGATCTTCGCTTCGCGTCTTCCACTTGCACCTAAATCAAAGTGGTTCTGTGCTAAGGCGAAAGCAGATCATCAACATTTACAGTTGTTTGATTTCATATTCAGACAGCGTGTCGCTTTCGAAATTATTGATCGATTTTTATCTACTCCACATTGATATCGAATTTTACAAAATTAAACCTGACATTGACGTCGAAAAAATTATTTCGAATATCATCACATCATACGACGTTTTCTCGCCATGCATAGATTATGAACAAAATTATCCTTTTCAAAAAAGATTCACGTATACATAGATTTGTCAATAATTCATCAATAGTCTCAAAGTAAAAGAAACTAGTTTATCAGTACACGAATATTATTAAAACGAAATTAATTAATTAATTTTAATAAATACACAATTACCATTATATTTAGCGTTAAATAATAAATACGGAATTATTCAAATGCGACGTTCAAGTATATAAAATTATCGATTTTTTTTCATCGAACTGACGTTCGTCTTTGATACCAGAGTATAAGTGTAGATCGTTGAAGTTCCCTGTCCTTAGGAAACCTCGATCGGGAATTCAACCTCGTTAGAAATTTACCTGCTCTCTTTCGCACTCTCCTCAAAGTTAGTATAATCGCTGTGTAACTGCTGCTGATCACCAAGACCGGGATAATCAGGCCGAATATGAAGAGGAATCCTATGTAGCTCTTGGTTTTGGTGACAGGGTCGTGGACTTCCCAGGACACGCTGCAAGACACGTTTCCTGCCTCCGGGCTGTAACTACCCCAACCAAATAGCGGCGGCAGGGAGAGGCAGAGTGCGTAGATCCATACGAAAAATCCAAGTATTATTGCGTGTCTGTTGAAAATAAACGAATTTGCACGAATAGAGCGACCAGTGAAATTAGAAGAGAATTTGTTGCTAGTGTAACAAAGTAGAGCCTCTCATATTCGGAACAGGTAGTTACTAAAAATGTTAATCCTCCAGGGACGACGCCTGATTCTTGATAATTTTCACAGATTTAAATAATATTAATAGTAACAATTTAGATAGATTTAATACTAATAATTGTTATTAGATCGATTCCATTAAAATATTTGATATTTAATACGAACTTTAAATAATGTCGACTTGTATAACTGTGAAATTTCGTGTAACAGTGTTTAGTATAACTATGAAACTTATTATACTAATTGTTGAAATAACTTTTTGGTTATTAAGTCATAAATATAAATGCGCAGGCATTGTCCCTGAAGAATTTACAGAATCAAAGACTATCTTTCTGATCTCAAATTTGAATAGAGATTAGAGAAATCGTTAATTTGTTCGAAAACGCGGTATGTTTTTTTTTTTTAAATTTGCCTCGAGAAATAAAACAATTAAACTTGTGCGAATACTTGCACGCTTGAATACCTATCTGATTTATACTTTTACTCCGTGAAACTGCCAGGGTGTAAAAGTTCAAAGTTGAATGTTTAATACCAAAGAACAGAACTTCAGAAGCACAAGCTATCTCTCAATTAGCCACAATAAGCAGCCAATGTAATTACGAACGCTTACTATCTAGCGGACAAGTTCGAAGTCAAGATTCGCGTGAATTACTTTACCAAACTTTTTAATCAACTTTGGATTAACGACGCCAGTCTTCGTGTCGCAAACGTTCGTCTCTTTAACGTTAGATTGAGAAATAACGACGAGAGAAAGAAGTGTACAGTGACTTTAGAAAATATTCGACGAAAACATCGTAAGCATTGTAAATATTCTAACTAAGTAAATAATTGTAAATATTCTAAGTTGTAACTTCATAAGAAAATATTGTACACCTAAGGAATTCTAAACGTATGATTTAAGAAACGTTTTTGTGCATCTAAGGATTGAAGTGTCTGCTTTAATTAGAGTCTTTAAACGAATTCGTTTCTTTCAGAGATATTTTGACGTCACATTGTGTGGAAATTCACACTTTCAAATTCAAACGTCCTTGTAGACACCGAACCAATTTGTTCATAAATAAATCCACCATGATCCTAAAGATTGAAGTCTCCTTTTTAAAAATTAGTATTGACAATTTTTCCTCGAGCGAAGTACGCGAATATTTTCTGAAGCCACTGTACTACGGATACTACGGCGTTAAAATTACGAAAAGATCGTTGGGAAAGTAAAGTATGTAATTACGTGTTTTAATGCTGAAGAAGGGAGTGTTTTTGAAGAAATATTCTTAAACGTCTGTGCAAGTATGATGGTAAAACGCAAGCACGATGGTAACGGCGAGATAAATCTCGATGACCGCAAATCATAATTACTTCAATGTAAACTGTGAAATGAAGTAACACTTCAACGCTAAAATTTTCGCCTCGAGCGGGATAAACAGACTGTATATTATTGTATAATATATAATATATACTGTATATACTGTATAATATGTAATATTATTGAAAAACATGTACAATGGTTTTAATAAAAAAAAATGATACATAATTATATTATACATACTATGTATAATATGATTATGAAATTTATATATAATTACGAAAAATTTAAATAAATATAATTGTATATGTATACATACAAAATATAAATTATATGTATAAATATAAATAAATATAATTGTATGTATATAACTATAAAGAAAGATGTATGATGAAAAATATAATGGCAATATTAATAAATTAATATACAATCGAAGATCAATATTGAATAATTAAATCGTGCGATAATTCTAAAAGTCCGACGAACTTATTTTGGGGATCTTTTACTTTCTTTTGTTCCTACTTTCGTCTTTCGCAGTACTGTCAAGACATTGACTCATAGCTCTTTCGAAATATCATTGATTGTCAAACATAATAATAAAAGTGTAAATCATTCTCACCTTATGGACAAGGCTTTCATGGGTTTGGCCACTAATAACCATCTTTCAACAGCCATCACTGTTAGGTTTCCGATACTGGCGAACCCCAATGTGGACATGAACCAAGCGTACCTTATACACAAAGTATTTTTGGTAAATATTGACAATTTATGGCAGGATTAATGAAATCTGTAATGATTAATGAATTTGATCTTGGAACTTTGGTATAAAATTTTATTGCATGATTCATAAATTATGAAGTGTTAGAGAACCTGTCGGATATAAAAATACTGAATTTTTTTAATTTATTAGAAAATTGTAAATTTTACGTTATTAGAAAATTATAAAAGTATTATACGTTTATTTATAGTTTAATTAGCAAATTAATAGCGCCTTAAGCAATTATTGCTTGAAGAATAACGATTTAGAACCAAGGATAATTTTTAACTTCACTAAAGAAAACTATGAACCTTACGTTATTAAAAAAATTCGAATAATATTAAATTAATTATTTTATTAATTACTGGTGGAGGAATAATGATCATTTAATATTTAGTCTTTAGAAATGAAATAACAATAAAATATAGAAATAGTTCCATTCTGAATTACAATTTTGCAATGAAGTTTTCATCAGCTTTGCTCTGCGATAATTTTTCTTATTTTTACTTCTAAAATACACTAGGATAGAATGGCAGTAATTCTATGCAACAGTGTGGT